ACAATAATCAATACTTTGATTTGTTTTGTTCAGGCCAGGCTGGCTTGCTGGAAAAGCCAACTTTTTAGGGCGCGTCATGGTGACCTGTGGCCATGGTCCATGGCCACAAAAGGCATTTAAAGGGTGTTTGCGATGAAGAAAAGGTTGAGAAATCCTGAATTAGGCAACGTATGCCTGGGAATCTTTTGCTGAGTAAGCCTACTTATGAATAAGGAGTCAAGTGTCCAGAAACTTACAATGTACTGCTCACCTCTGGTTTAAATGAGCTAGTCTTGACAGTAGAAAAAGCCAAATTCCCTCCCCAAATTTTCTTTTATTACAGAGCAATAAATACACCTTCGGAAAATCTAGAAAACCTCTTGTATAAACAAATATAATATTTTATATGGATAATTTTACCTCTAAAGCTGTACTTCATTTGTGAAATCACTCCCTTTCTATATAAAAACTTTCCAGAAGAAAAAGTATTACGTATATCATACATCTAAATATTTGTGGCATCATGTCTTTTCTCTTACTGCATTAGTATAGTAAGTAAGTGTGTCTTTAAGATATTCTCAGCTTCTAGTAACCAGATAAGTAGATTTTCTTCATGATGACCTATCCATAACCTGGTCCCTTCATCTCTTCCAGCATATTCATGACAAAATAGAATTATTCCACTTCGTTTCCGGTCACCTTGTTCTCTCCTTTCTGCCTTTCTCAGTGTTAGTGCATTTCCTGGAGAGCTGCAATTTCATATAATATGTTCACAAGAGGATAATTTGAACCTGATCTTGTGCATTTTGAATGAGAATTCTGAGTTGATTTATTTGGTGATCTGTTTCTTTGCTTTCGTGCCTAAGATTAGTATTCAGTTCTAAATTTATGATCATGAAATTCATACCTTAGTTAAAGAAATTAAACTGATATAATCCTGCATGAATTATTAACAGATTTACGAATTTAGCCTGAGTTGGGCAGCCTTTTGAGGAAAAGGTCACCATTTTTCAAAATAAGGAAAATAGCCGCAAACCCACATACACAACAAATTCCATAAGATTTCAATTGTGTCTCCACAAAATTTTGCACCTATTACTTATTTATTGGAGGAGAGTTGGAATTCTGTGGGTGCTCTTCCACTGTATTGGTCATAGGCCTTTCATAAGTATTGGGGTGTCCATAAATACTGTATACTCCTCTGTCTGGACTAGCTTAGAATATGATCATGGAGTGAAATATTTCAAATATTTTCAGTAGGAAAATATATAAATATTGTAATACAAGCTCTTTAGCATCCTGGTCTTAGACCCACCATGAATTTTGTTTTAGTTTGTCTTTTATTTTCTATTTTGACTTTCAGCTACGGTTTGAATTGATACAACATTGACAATATGAGTAGAGAAAAGAGGAAACTATTTTTTGAGAGTATATGGTGTATATATAGTACATAATTTCTGCTTTTTTTAAAAAAAGAAACAATATTTATGCATGCATCCACCTTGTTCTTCAGTCTCCTCACCTCAGTCCATATATACCAATAGGCAACATTGGCCATACTTTTGGATTTATCTGTTTGTTTGTTTTGAAATTTTAGATTTCTGAATTCATTTATTACTTCTCATGTGTACAAACTACGATTTTACAAACTTGTAACTTTATGTCCTTTCACTTTTGTTTCAGCTGCCTGTGGGGGTCTTCTGACAAAGCTGAATGGGACTCTAACATCACCAGGGTGGCCCAAAGAATACCCCCCTAATAAAAACTGTGTGTGGCAACTTGTTGCTCCCACCCAGTACAGAATCTCAGTGAAGTTTGAGTTCTTTGAACTGGAAGGGAGTGAAGTAAGTTAATGACACGCGAAACTAATATTTGCTTAGGTAATCAATAGTAGCAGAATGCAAAATATTAATGAAAAATATCCATCACAATTTTTGTTTTCTTAATCAGCTCTTGATTCTTATTTCTTGGTGCTGTTTTAGCTACATGCTGAATAATGCACTTGAAATCAACACCCAAATGAAATCATGACCACATTTCTAAAATCCACTTTGAGATTAGAGATTATTACATGAACATATATGAATAGACTCCCATATTTAAAAACTTACATCAACACACAATCAAAATATTAGGTCTAGAATTAGAATTCCTAAGGGCAAGGAAAATCCATGATGACCAAATGTTAGGTCTTTTCATAAAGAAGTAAAAAAAGGTAAAAAGATTTTAGTTAACAAATTAATAGAAATGTTCCAACACATTTAATACCAGTTTACATACATAGGAGAGAGTCATGATTCAGGTAACCAAAATGGAAAATTAAGTCTTTAAATTAAACCAAAAATATGGAAAGGCAAATTAAATGGAAAAAAAATAGATGTGGCAATACTCTTTGCATTGCTGATTATTATTAATAGCAAAGGAATTTGACTCAAAATACAATTAAGCTAATATTAAGATCCTGGCATCATTAGAGTTCCAAGTCTGTCACTCAGGAAAAGAAAAACCAGATCCTCTTGTATATCGTGACCCGACAAATGCGCGCCCGACAAATGCGCGCTGACAAAACCGCCGTGACAAAAACGGCAACGTTGAAAGCGCGCCCACTAAAGTGCACCAACAAAACCGCGCCCACAAAAGTGCGATTAGGGTTTTTAGGTTAGGATTAGGGTTAGGATAAGGGTTAAGGTTAGGGTTGTTAACATTGTTACCGTTGTTTTCACGTTATTTTTGATGGTGTGCTTTTGTTGGCATGCATTTATCGACGCGCTTTAGTGGGCGCGCTTTCAACATCACCGTTTTGTCGTGGCAGTTTTGTCGGGGGCGCATTTGTCGGTGAACTCTTGTATATTTGATCAATTGTGGTGTAATGAGTAATGCAACAATAAAATTAAAAGAGCTAAACCATATTATGTCTCATAGTGGAAGATATAAGTTGAGAGATAAATGTATTTCTTAATTGCATTAGGATTGATACTGGCATTTCATTTTTTTAGGTGTGCAAATATGATTATGTGGAAATCCGTAGTGGCCTTTCTACTGATTCCAAACCACAGGGCAAATTTTGTGGTACGGAAGTGCCTGAAGTTATCACATCCCAGTATAACAACATGAGAATTGAATTCAAATCCGATAACACAGTTTCAAAAAAAGGTTTCAAAGCTCACTTCTTCTCAGGTACTAAAACAAATGCAATAAAGTGTGATCTGTGTATGAATGTTTGAGTTTTTACAAATACAACTAAACTTTTCAAAATCTTTTCTCCAGGATAAGATTTGTTTATGCTTTTCATTTTTTAATTCCAATGAAGATGAATGGCCAACCTCTTAACAAGCTCAGTTCCAATTTTTCCCTTAATTAAATGTTAATATTAATTTCAATACATAAATAATCATGACAAGGAAATAATTAATTTATTAGTTATAATAATACATACATAACTATAATATTATTAATTACTATCATTATTCATTTACCTTCCTAATTATATTGGTTTTCTTTATTTGCAGTAATATTCTCTTAATGTTTTATTTTTTATTTTTTTTCTCCTTAAAAATGGCATGTCCCCCCCCCCCCAAATAAGGATGCACACTTAGGTTAATTTCTGTGAAGATTCTCAGTCATCCAAGTCATGATTGTCCCAAAGTTCAATGAAAAGCAAGGTCCAGTTGCCTCTTGAAAAAAGCACCTTTGGAACAATGGTGACCTGGATGACTGAAAATCTCCATAGACATTTAGCTATGTACTTTGGGATGAACACCTTTCAAATGATATGGAAATAGGGACAGATTTCCAGAAAAAAATTGCAGACTACAGGAATCCTTTGTGCTTCAGTCTGTGTTCAACAGTGAAGGGACACAGGACAGAAAACATCCTGCAGAAAGCACAGCTCCACAACACAATTGTTTCAGCAGTCCAAGAAGGCTCCACCCCCATTTGCACCCCTAAAGGCACAAACCCCCAAGTCACCTCAATGACTCCAAAACAATGCAAATGACCAGCTGTGTGTAAGCAGTATAAATCCTTCCTGTCCTGACCCAGTGATTGTAGATTGGCTGGGGCAGCAGTTTAACTCCATGCTTAGGACGTTCTTTCAGACCAAGATTATTATCAGGCATCCTTAATAGCAAAACTTGCAGTTCAGTGTTAAGATTCTTCTGACTTTCCATGATCTGTCCCATCACGCAATGTAAAAAGTCTGTGGCCTTTCTATTCCCTAGTTGAGCGGTTGGCTTCCATCCCAGTTAACAAAGGGCGATTCAAAGAATGACCAGTAATA